GACGTCGAATCGGTGGGTCGGTGAAGCCATGCTGGACGCCACTTGATATGCATAAAGGGTGGCGCACTGTTTCGTGCCCACTACAGCTCTGACATTGATGAAAGCTCAATAATCAAAGCGGACCACAGTAACTACGACCGGGGTCGGGTTTTGGACATACAGTACAATCCGAGCGATGTACGAGAATCACGGGCTTATTTTAATGAAAATATTGGTTCAGTGACAGAGGTTCGACTTCTTGAGGTGAACATAGCTGAATGCACTGGCTGTCATCAATGGCCTAGCAAACAAAACCAGTTGCACCTTAAGTGTAGCTCACCCATTCCTGACTCAGCTCACAGAACTGAACAAAACAGAACGCAGTCGATCCGATGCACGTTTCATCACAGGGTGACTGGTTCATCGTAGTCGAGCCTCTCGTCCCTCTCACCCGTGACCCTAAGCAAGTAAATTCCCTCTGACCCCTGACGCGATCTGATTGGATCATATTCCGCCAGCTGCGACGCCTAAAATCTCTCACCTAAACGGGACTGTCTGATTACCGACTTGTAATGCTCTTGTTGTTCAGTCCATCCGAGTGTTGATGACACTCCTGCCACACGGTCGAAGTTCACTGGGCCTGTTTGAAACTCTCGGCTGTAAAACAGGTGTGGCTTCTCGCTCGGGTCAGCTGAGCAAGCACCAGGTCCCTTGTTGTGGCTGAACTATTCGATCGATCGATAAATCAACCGATCGGTCGTGTGATTTTCGGGTCGGCGCAGGAGGAGGATAGGTTCCGAATCCGATGCAGCCTGTGTTGGTAGAGAATCGCCCCACGAGAATCAGTTGTGGAGCGGTGCGCCATGTGGGAAATTCCGAATGGAAAATGCTCAAGCGATGATGACACGGGGCCAACGCTTAACTCGTCTAAGATACACGCACCATTTTTCGAAGCGGGTTCAGTAAACAGATAATCATAATAAACTTCGAACTTGTCTTAATAACGGACAAAAATCTCCTGATGTAGGCCCACGCAAAACCCTTCTTGATTTTTCCCAACTGGTTGTTTTTGCGTTGAACGATCTCGCTAACTACGTCGGAGATAGAATTCCGAAAGAAAGAAAGAAAGAAACGAAGAACAAATATTACGGGAGAAATTATATTCACATTATAAAAGATGTTCCATGTGCTTCCCATTCTGCTGCTTGCACAGGAAAATCCGGCGAGGATAGTTGTTTTCTTCCACCTTGAGGATGGTAGCATTTGGAATACTTTCGCCTGATGTCAGGCACCACATTTTGGTGTAACAATTGCAAGTATGAAGCGCCTTAAACAAAGTCTCAAACAGGCCCAGTGAACTTCGACCGTGTGGCAGGAGTGTCATCAACACTCGGATGGACTGAACTTAACAACAAGAGCATTACAAAAAGTTGAAGTCGGTAATCAGACAGTCTCGTTAGGGGTGAGAGATTTTAGGCGTCGCAGCTGGCGGAATATGATCCAATCAGATCGCGTCAGGGGTCAGAGGGAATTTACTTGCTTAATGTCACGGGTGAGAGGGACGAGAGGCGTGACTACGATGAAGCAGTCGCCCTGTATTTGTTGGATAACTCTTGCTCCCACTGAACGTGCAATATCAATGCTCGGTATGCACACACAGACACACACAGACATACAATCATACACGCACATGACACGGACGATCCTCACATGCGACCTTGGTTACAATAACCAATCAGACTGCACCACGTGTCTGCTTGTTATTGACTGGCTGATGGTTTGTACGACCAGTACCGGATGATGACATGCTTCTATTATTGTTCATTAATTACCATGCTACTGTTTTGTGCCTACATAAAAGGATTTACTTACATGCAAAAAAACCAGTTATGTTGCATACAAAAGGGGTGTTGTGACTGAAATCAGATACTGGACTGTGCAAAGCGGCGTGAAAGTCTTCGAAGGTTAGTCAGATCCGA